ACTTTCTCAGGCCAGTAAATAGGGTCTTGGATCGGTAGTTCTCGTCCGCGGCGTGACGTCATTTGGAGCTTTTCGGCGCCAAACTGGACAATGAGAAATCGCTCTCGAAATAATAAACCTCTGCGGTATTTATAAGCCGCTGGACCGTTTTAACGGTCAAGACGCGGCCATTTTTTTTAAGTGCCGTCGCGGCATTGAACGCCGCCGTGCGTTTGATGTTTAGGGGCGTCCTTGTCGCCACATAGACCGAAATAAATCCCGTGCATCAAACAGCACTTTGCGATTTGAAAATAACACAGGTCCAAATTGATTTTGATGTTTGAAAGCTGTTTGCTTATTTGTATATTTTTGGGAACCCTTTTTTTCAAAAAACTCCATATTTAATTTTTTTTGTAGAGCTCTATATCTTTGTTATTTTATTAATATACATTACCCATTGCATGAATGTGTTTGTTAAATGTTGTTCATGAAATTAAATGTGATTTACCAACACTGGATAATATTAGATTTCTCTGCAAAGAAACAGAAGCGTCAATATAGCTTATGCGCGTTTTGGTTGTATCGGTCGTCGTGGTATTCGCTTTTGCAAAGGCAAACTATACTACATCTTTTGGGAAAAATGTATACCACACTTAGTTTGGTGTAAAAATTTGCGATCAAGGCAAATCCTGGGGTCCTCCTAGCGAAAAGGTAATAAGAAATGTTTGGTTCGGTATGGTTGGTGTTCCTATGGTATAGCGAGGGCCTAGGAATTACAACGATGAGTGTTAGTGTAAGTGTAATGTTCAAGGGTTCAGCAGCAAAAATAAGAAACAAATTGTGCATTCCAATTTTGACTCTGCTCAGAATCAGAGGAATCTAGTTCCGACCTAGATAACTCAGATTTCACAGTAGATTTCAGAGAGCCCGAATTGAAATGATTTAATTAGAGCTTTGCACTTTTTAAAGGATACATCCGAATTGTTAGCGTCCAGATTTCGTGACAAGCGTTCCATGGCCCCTCGCGTCACATCAAGCTTTTGCCGGGATCGCGAAAAAGAGTTATGTCCAATATTTTACTCAGGAACTACCGCTAGAATATTCCTGGCTTAGTTTCAAAACTACGACAAATATCTGACCTAAAAGAGCTTGTGCATGTTCCTAGGACAGCAGGAGTGGGGTAGCCGGGCAACAGGTAGACATTGAACCCAAAAAGAATGGCCCTCTAGGTCTTACACCTGGTAGCAAAAATGTATTAGTTGACTCTAAAAAAGTTTTACTGTCTTCGTATCAAACTTCGCTTAATGAAGCAGTTTATCAAGGACCTAGACAACAGTTTCAAATATTTGTGCCAGAAATTTCCGGCCATATCTGATGTCATGATAAAACATTATCCAAAGACCAGGGTTTTCAAAAAACAATGACCAATGCCGAGAAAAACGCCTGGGTTCCATTTAAGAAAGGGAAGTTTCTTGGAAACTTTAAGGACGAAAACTACGAAAGTATTGTTCAAAATATGTTACAACACTTTCATCGTTTATGTTGTAATTTGAGTTTAAAGTGGATTTCCTTTTTTCACACTTGAACTATTTTCATGGAAATCTTGGAGCCGTTAGCGAAGAACAGGAATAGAGGTTTCACCAGGATACCAAGGGAGATGGAGCATAAAGATGATGGCGGACCACTGCTGGATGTTAAAACGAGATATGCCCTTAAAATTCTTTTTCCACTTTTTTACTGAATAAAAATATAAATAATTTTAGAAATACGTTTTTTTTTGTTCCTTTAATATTTGCAAAAAAAACCTTACGTGCTACAAATAAATGCATAGAATTTTTTGAATCGGCCAACCAAAATAATATAAACCAGTTTTCAAAATAAAAATCTCTGTCAAAAAGTTTAATTTTCTAAACCTGTTTTGGGCTATATTGGGCTAATTTGCAGGGAATTCTCATTTAAAATGCTGTCTGCAACTTGCACTGTGCTGACACGTCCTCCCCATTAAGAAGAAGAATCATTCTTTTGAAAAGTAAGAGAAGCAGAACCTTCAATTTTCAATAAAAAGGATTCTTGTTTGTATTTAAGGACTTCTATTACTTTTTTAATTAAAAAGAGCATCATACATGTCCATATAAGGAACTTATAAATCACTAATCTTTTCGGAGACAGCCAGCGGTGACGTAGGAGAAAATTCTCCACGCCGTAAGGACGTAAAAATGTTCAATTTACAATCCGATCATTCGTGTAACGAATGTCATGTTCGGAATATAATTTACATTGAGTCAGCGGTAAGTAAGGTTACTTATTCCACTACCACCGGCCGTTGTCATTGGAGACTTCGCTTCCTGTTTGTCTTAGTTAGTTTAGAACAAATAATTGAACGTAAATTGTCGCTAATTTAAATTTATTAACCGCGCCGCGCGAAATCAATGGGCAAACAGAAAATTAATAAGAGTCCGCGGGCAATTATTGTTGTTGCGGTTCCAAGGATTTGTACCGAAAAAAAAAGGACTCGGTGACTACGGGTTTTGGGCAAGGGCCAAACGCTAGACAAACAGTCCACGACTTTGTTGGGTTGATCTTATTGCCAACGCGGAAAACAACAACTACATCCACGCCGGAGGATACTGGACGATGACGTCAACAGTGTACTATTCAGATTCAATAAATTTGTCCATATTTATCTTTTATTTTTAATTAACGAACTGTTAATTCTTGGGATCACCCCAACTTTGATGGATCGCCGTAAAGGGAGCAATAAGAGATGTTGAAGCTCAAAGCAAAGCGGCAATTTATTGTAATATCTAGCTTTCGCCCATGGGTACAGGCTCCATCAGGAAACTAAATCATATAGAGAAAAAAACATTTCATCAGAGTTAACAATCTAACCAAAAAAAGGAAAAAAACTTACACAACACGCCTCTGTGGCCAGTACTTCCTGACTTACAGAGGCCAGAAGTAACGAGCTAGACCAAGAAGTCATTATCAGACGAACTTGGCCTTGAATCTCGAACCTTCGCTTTAAAATAGGACCTAATAACGTAATGGATTTAGAACATTTCGGAGATATATTTGGAACCAAGCATTATCTCGATTTCGACTTAATTTTGTGCGTTTCCCAAAAAACTGGGAGGATAATGTTTAATTCCTTTGTGCAAAGTACAATTAGGTATGGGTCAGAAGTTTGGCAAATGTCAAAAGCTATGAAAGAAACAGAAATGATGTATTTTTAGAAGATACTGTAAAGCCACATTAATGGACAAAATCAATGTAGAAAAGAGACTATTAGGTACTATTGAAGAAAAACAGCTAATGTGGTTTGGACATATGAGACGAATGAGCGAAGATAGAATACCCAAAAAAATTTATGAGTGGAGACCACCACAAAGAAGGAAAAGAGGCAGACCACGGAAAAGCTGGCAGGCAGGAATTGATGAAGCTATGCTATGCATATCATAGAGGATATGTACAGCGATCGAGATGTGTGGAGATTGGCATGAGCTTTATATATCATTATATACTATTATTGACCCAACTATTCTATGATTTTTTATGTCACATCCAGGAAATATTTTTGCACATCCATTTAGAAATTCTATTATTATCACTACTAAAGGACATAAAGGCGTAGAAATCGCTAATTTATGTGTAAAGGAAAGATCTAAAAAGATAAAATTTGTTTCACATTTTCAAAATAGTAAAAAAAAATATTTTGTAGTATGTAGATTACATCGCAGAAGACATGAATTAGAAATACTATATTGATTGTGCTTTTTTTTTTTAAATATTTACTGGTGCGTGAATGCACCACTGGTTTTCTCTAACTAACCAAAACTTTATCATTGCAAGTCTAGACAAGTCAGCGCATGAAGAAAAAACATCCAACAATTAGTGTCTTAGTATTATTAGTATTAGTATTAGTTTGTGCCTTGTGCAGTGAACATTACAGTTCGTAAAATATAGCACTTCCGAGGTATTTGAATCAAAAGGAATTATTAAAGGCGGCTATGGAGGACACATTCTTATGTATTGTAGCATTCCATTCCTTGTAAATTTATGCTAAAAATAACGTGAAAAAATATTTACAGAACATATTGAGGCGGTCTATATTCCACCCGACGTAGATACCTTGACTGACGAAGAAGATATGAACGATAACATAAATCTACAAGAGTTTGGGGAACCAACTGTTATAGTTGGAACTTTCGAGTTACATACACCGACCGAATGATACAGCTGTCTTCCAACAGTCCTGTAATCCATCAACTACTGAACCTCATCAGATGATGAAACCCCGGAATTCAAAAGCAGACGTATGCTTTCTGCAAACGACAGGCTTGCTTCTACTGTCAAATGGAAGAAAGGTCAGATGAATTTAGATCATGCGAGGAACTAAAAAATAGGCGAAGTAATTTTAAATCTTTTTTAAAAACTGATAAAACAATTACTCAAAGAAATCTTGCACCTGTCATAGATGAAGTACGTTATGATAATCATGATTGTTCTTTGTAATAAAAAGAAAGCGGGTGTTACCAGTGGTGTTTTTTTTTGTATCAAATCAGGTTCTATTTGGAAAACAATCTACTTTTAGTTGTTTTCTGTCGAATTTGAACTTTCTTTTGTACATTTATGTATAAATTATATGTGCTCCAAAACATTATTTAATGTTTTTTCCCAGTGGTTCGCTTACGCACCATTTTTTTTTGTATTTTTCGAGTTTTATTTTTGACACATGTAATGAGAGCAAAAAAGTATTTTTTTTCATGATTGGGTTAAATATATTCCCAGCGTTGGAGATATGAACGTCCAGTAATTTAATGGTAAAAATTTTCGAGAGCGAATCGGTCCGCGGTGCGACGTCGCCACGCGGTGCCTACGGAGACGGTGCCCGCGATACGGGGCATGGAAAGACGGCCGCCGCCGCCGCCGCCGCCAAGACGCATCGCCCCGCCAAAAAACCGCGAGACTCTCAACCCCACGAAGCGGCGGTTTAGCCGGCGTCGAGATCTTCGGCGTTCAGTTGTCTCAAGTCCGCGTTGCGCAAAGCCAATCCCGCTTGGATCGCCGACCGAGAACTTTTCACCGTTATCATCGCGACGATAGACACACACACAAGCTCGCGTTTTGCGTTCACGCTCGCGGGCGTCTCCGTAGCGATTGTTTTTTTTTTCGCTCCCCTTCTTCGGGGAGGTTTACGGCCGCGGGAGGACCTGGAGCTGTCCGGTGTGACACGCGGGGTGCGCGAGCTCTGTGGACGGACGAACGGTGACGAGTGGCTTTCGGTGGTGCTGTGATTGTATCGCCTCGTTTGTTTTTGGATTACAGTTTATATTTTGGATATCCGTTCGACTTTTACATGGATTTGGACAGGTTAGAATCCTCCCCTTTTTTTTTAATTTTTGGGGGGGTTGCGTGGAGTGTGCTGGGAGGATCTTTTTCGGCCTAGCAATGGGCCCAAACGTGGACAATCGAGAGATGCTTTGTTTGCTATAGCTGGGTATTCATAAATATTTTTCTGTTTTTGGCATGAAAGGTTAGCTTTTGTTTGAATCTCGTTACGTTTTCCCGCTTAATATTTAACAGAGCTGGATTTGAAAATTTCGCGCTCTCATTTTGTATTTCGTTATCGTTTCAAATTTCCGAGAACACCGAGTGCAAGTATCGTAAAAGAATAGTTTTGTGATTTATAAATAAAGGTCTAGCTAAAAACAAGTCTATTTATAATTTTTTTATTTTTTTTTTAATTATTAATCACTCAAAAACCTTTCAGCCGATTTTGACGAAATCTAACACGCTTATTTGTACGGCCTAAAATTGTTCGTTTCCTTTAATACAAACAACAAAAATGAAATTCTTTTGTTTCTTGCGCGTTTTTTTGTTTTTTATTCGCTTTTCGCCTTCCAGATGAAAATTAAAATCCTGCACGTTCCTGGACATTCAAAAGCAATCGATTTATTCTTGATTATCCAATATCCTTTGCTTTATTTGTCAAAAACACACATAGATATACCTTTTTACTCTGAAACACCCTGTATATCGGGGTCGGGGAATCGCCCTCACAAGGGCCAAGCGGCAATTTAATCGTAAATTGCATATACATGCATGCTGTGGGAAAACCGCCTGGCTCTATGTGTGGATAAATATTTATGGGGCATCGACTCTCATACAGGACATATTCAAAAAAAAAAAAAGAATAAATATGCCCGTGAAAATTTTTTGCACCTCATTTTTACTCGGACCTCAAAAATGTCGAGATTGGCTCTTATTATTATTGTTACTATTATTTTTGTCTTAGACTTTAATTAATCTGATTTGACGTAATTCAATTATCATAATTGCGAAGTTTTTTTCTCTTTCTTCGGGTTCGATAAGGGCGAATGTTAATTAACATCTCTAGTAGACTGAATCTCATCGTTTTGGCATCTATTCTATCTATTATTATTATTATTATTATTATTATTCCATATCCACCATTAGGCAGGAATAACAACAGCGCTAAAATTATTACATCAGCCGAGCAATAATAAGCATTTTTTTTATTAAATTATAATAAAACGATGGAACTATCCAAAGTATGGAAAGTAAAAAATACCTCTTTCAGTCTAGGTACCCTTTAGACAAATTCAAAAAGTTACGTTATCAGTTGGTTCCTATTTAGTAAAATAAATGGCACAAAATGTAAAATTATTTAATATCAATTTTTAATTAAACGTACTTCATTTTTGATTAATTAAATTAGATTAAATATTTATATAATTAACAGATCTATTGCCACATTTTGCAATTTTTGCAATAATAATGAAAATTATATTATTATATATGTATTATAAGTATCATATGCAATTGCGGGTGCGTATCAGTCAGCCGCAATTGTTGAGGGTGCCCCGTACAGTTTGGGTTGTAATTAGTGATCGATCGCCTCTATCGGAAAATAGCTTGTTTAAAACTGCCCGTTAAAATTTTATTAGGGCACTTTACGAGTTTATTTTCATTACAGTGGCATGCGAGGCAACATCATTATTACCAACGCACATTTTTTTTGCCTATCGATCAAATATTTCTGTCGTACATTGCAACGCCCTGGGTTAATATTGCCAAGCGAGACGCTGTCCGTCCGCGGCAGAGAAATTTACTTTTTAGTTTTTTTGTAAAAATAAAAATTAGACAAGTTAATATCATATATAAAATAATATCAATACTATTAATACTAATCATTGTTATTGCTCGACAAGAAATAAAGAGAATTACAGGTTAATACAAAAAATTATACGTAATATAAACAAAGCCAACAGAACTCAACCAGTATACAAATTAATAAATAAAAAAAAACATTTTATCTTGATCGACATAACTGGACATTAAATCAAAAGTACCGTTAATATGTCAAAAGTTTTACTTTTTGCTGTCATGCAAAAAAAAATGGGGACATTTCATTTAATTAATTTATTAATAAGCCAACGATTGGGACGACTATTTCAAATATTTGATGTTTTTTTGTATTATTTCCTAACTTTATTTTTGGTCAGTCAAGACCAAGAGGAAATGCTGGAAATGTTCTTGACTTTCTAAAATTAAGCCAACAGAAGGCGTAACTGATGCGTTGATTTTTAAAACTCTGTGTCTATCATCATATCATATCATATCAAATAAATGTCAATAACTCCAGAAAGGTCTAACGGATTATAATAATCTTGGAGCCATTAAAACACTGAAAACCGCTCTTCAATATCCTTATCCCAACCTAAAATGTGAATCAAGAATTTAAAACTAAAGAACGTTTAATTTTGTCTAGCATTTCTTCTTTGCGGATTGTTATAAATAATATTTAAAATAAAAATAAAATTTTGTTATTACTTTTTTCGCAATACCTTCGAAGGCGATTACTCAGTAACTTACGAGTAACTGACGTTTTGATGGTCTAAATTAAAAAAAAAAAACAAATTTCTGGGACAACCGTTATAAAATACCCTCCTTGAACTTAAATTCTCACAACAACATTAATTAAGGTTTTATGGTCATTTTTCGGTATACATAGTAGAAGGTAGTTTGTAAATATTACATTTGATAAAGACACGGTGTTGTCGAAACAATTGTCATATCAAAATATATAATTTCGTGAGAATTTGAACTTTTAGTTATTATTTATTTTGAAAAACCCTCTTATTCTGTAAATTCTGTAACTTCAAATCAAGTCTGTGTCTGTCTGTAGTCTGTGACACTTGTATGTCTGAACAGCCATTGGTAATCTATGCTTTAAGCCCACGTACTCAATAGTCTGTGCATTAGAAGTAAGGGTTTTGTCTTAATTTCAGTCTTTGGTGCGGTTTACCAGGATTTGTGGGAAAAAAATTGTTGCACGCGTCGCTGAGCCTTCTAACTAGGGGGACGCGGGGTCCTAATTGCCGAATTTTTTTTACTAATAAGCGAAGCAGAGTGTGACAATTATCGAGCCCGACCGGCCGTCGGTTTTGGGAGAAAGTAACGTCGTTCGCTGGCGATTACGAGGATATTTATTTATAAAACTTTTGTATGTCATGGTGAACACTTGTTATTTTTTCGTTTCACTTTTTCTTTCGCGGCGAAAAAAATATAACGGCCGCCTAGTCAAAATGAACGCTCGGTAAATGGCGCGTGGAAAAGAGAGTGAAAGTTTCGTCGAAAAAGTGACGGGAGTGCTTTTTTTTTCATTTTTTCGAAAATCTTTATTGCGGTTTATAGAGCAAAGTTGACTTAAAATGGAGTGCGACAACACTTAAATATTTTTAATAGTAAATTTTTAATTTAAATAGTTTATAAAACGAAACATAATTTGTAAACATTATGTAAGCTTCGGCCAACAATGGCATAAACCATAATTTAGTCTTTGTCCATCGTCTGACGTGTCTTCGTCCGTTATCTGACTTTTATGTATTTTAGTTCCTTTATGGACAATATATTGTTTCATATGAATTATCAGGTACCTTAAAGAAAAATTTTTTAATTTAGAAAGAATTTTCATTGCAGATTGTACTTGCGAAAAAATGAGGCTCTCAAAATAGCGATAATAATATGTTGATGGTGCCTCCCGAAAATGTGGAGTCGCCGTCGACTACGAGTCTACAACTATTTCCATTGTTGTTACCCTTAGACGGCAGCACCCGATGTGACACCGCCATGTGTACACCCTACCTGCTTATCTTAAATAATACAGTAAATATAGTCGCTTAAAAAATCAAACCATGGGTTTAGTTGTCAATGTTATCTGCTTGATTATTCATATATGAAGATAATATTGGCACTTTTAAATGTAAATAAAATATTGAGAAGGGATTCGATACGCGCATGCGCGACCCACGTCAGAACGCGGTGGCGACCAATGAGACCTTGCGACGTTCACCGATCAACGTGGCCGCTGACAGTTCGTAAATTCGAGAGTTTTCGACAGAATTTTGTCAAAATATACTCAGATCCCGTTAAATTTTACACGAAAAAAACGAATAAAGTGTGCAGAGATCGCTGTTTAGAAAGGTTAGTGCTTAAAATTTAGTTTAACTAATAGGTGTGTGATATTATTCGCGTTTTCAAAGCAAGGTTGGAGGCTGCATTTCCTGTATTTATGCCGTCTTTATATTTTCCGTTCTAGAGAAACGTCGGATAAAAGAACGAATATATTTCAATATATATTATCGAATTGTCGAACCCTATCTGGACGTTTTTCAAAAATCGATCGATGGTAAAACGACAAACGGACGGTCGCGACCTTTAAACCGAATAAAAATTAAATCGATCTTTCAATTATTTCAAACGCGTCCAAGGACCCGCGCGAAAACGTTTAAACGTAACAAAGAGCCAAAAAAAACGAACTACCATTTGTGTCGGGTACAAAATAATCAGGAAGTATAGTGTCGAACGAAATTTGATAGCCTTGGTGCCGCCAGTGCGTCACAGTTGTACTCACGAAGGTGATTCACGTTTCAACCCTTCTAGGTATCGGTGTTTTGCTCGTCGGTACTGCTCGAATAAATTATGCAGTTAATTTAATATTATTATTTATTGGCGTGAGTGGTAAAAAAAGCCGAGGCCGAAACCATTTGAGACCGAGAAATATACGGAAGCTTGTGAAATTAGACGTCAGAACGGCACCAGAAGGCGGATGCAGTGTATACGAAAAAATGATTATTTCGCTATCATTTTTATTTATTATTATTATTGTTGTCACGTAAAGTCATTTAACCGTTATAATTTAATTCAATAAACAATTACTTTTATAAAAACTTAACAAATAACATTAAAAATGTTGTTTCAACAAGATATTTGAAAGTGCCCCAGATAGATCTCAAAAGTGCCGTCTCAGGAATCATAAACTCGTATTTTAGATTTGACATCATAAACGCGATTTAACACTGAATGAAAAGAAAAATCTTGAAAAATTAAACATATATTTTTGAATGTTTTTCAACTTCTACAATTTTTGTCATTTCTTTTCTCATGGTTCTTCGACCCTTCCAAATTTTTTTTTTTGTTTGTTTTGTTGTGGATAATAAAACTTTTGCTGCAAATTCGTCACTAACTTCAGACACGTAACAATTTGGGCTAAACATTCTCTTTCACTTCTATTTTCTCGGGATTTTACAACGGCGAGCTGCCCGATCTAATTGCAAATGCCGCTGCAAGCAGCCTTTGTGCAAATTTTCAGTTATCAATTTCTCGGCCGACTGGCAAAAATTATAGGCGCGCCCATGCCAGCAGTCATTTTTACTATCGCCAAAACATTTAAATAAAATTAGTAGAAGCGCTCAAGGTATTTTTGTCACGATCGGCCTCGACTGCAAAGCGTGTTTGGAGGTCTTCAAGTTTATCCGACACTTCTGTCTACCGTCCCGTTAAAAATCGCTTTTCAATTTTTTTTTTTCGCTAAAGGTTAGTCCACAAAACAGACGTCATTTCGCGCGCGCGCTCATGGGCGGCGCGCCGCGTATTTCGATTAGGGGAATTTTTAGTAGAAGACATTTCGCCCGAGAAAATCACACGTAGAGGGCGCGATGCAAAAAAATATTTTGACCCTAAATTCCTTGCTCTCTCCTACCGTAATCGTATACAGGGTGTAGAGCAGTGACTGTCGAAAAAATATCGCACTTATCCCTTCTTGTAATACGCCCAAATCTCAAGCTTCAGTGACGCACCTCAACAATCGCAAAAATTATAATCCTAAACCTATCTAAGGCGTAAGGTTGAATAACGTTTACAACTCGGTCCATCTTTTCCCATCTAGTGCCATTTTCCATTTCTCTTAGTATGTTCTGATCCAATGTTAGTTGCGATCTTCCTCTGTTTCTTCGGTTGGATCTTCTCGCTTTGTCCATTCTATTTAGGTATCCGTACCATCAAAGTTGGCATTTCTTCTGATGCAGTTTTTGCTGTTCTAAATTCAGGTAAAATTGTGGTCCGTAGTAGAAAATAATTAATTAATAAATAATACCCACCTATGTTTAATATTCTTTGGCTTCCCATTTCAGCGAGGAAAAAAAGAAGCGATGCTGACATTTTCTCGAGTGTAGATGAAAGTGATCAAGATAAAATACGGCGTAAAATTTACCAGTTATACGAGGAACAAAGCGTGCCTACATATCTTGAGGCTTGAGAAAGATGAAACCGGTGTTAAATGTGGCAGAACTACCTTATGGAAGTGTATTCAACACACCACCGCAGATTTATTTGAAAGTTGGTTTAAAAACAAACTAGTTCCAAACATTCCCCCTAAGTTATCACATTAGACAGTTGACTGAAAACCCTTCCTCTTGTGACACAAAAGCAACAATCCAAAACTACATGTATAACAACGACATTTACTTTCACGAAGATTATAGCAAAAAGCAATTAATTGAGGTTCTACAAAGCTTGAACCTACAAAAGGAATACGTCTGTGATAATTATCGAAAAAAATCTAGGGCATACAGTTTTAAGGCTTCCACCTTACCACTGTATATTTAATCCCATTGAACATGTTTGGGCACACCCTGTACACGAAGTATCGTTATGCAAACTATTACTATTTCTACTCTCACTATTATTACAGTGACATTTTCATGACTTTGTTTACGCTTTCAGTGGCGGTTCCCTATCGAAATTCAAAACACTTTATTTATAACGCACTTAAAGTTATTTTTCCGGCTTAATTGCGGCGGCAACTATAATAAATAAATATCCAAGGTGAAAGACCAATTTTCCACGTGTTTCTTTTGATGAACCCGACGGGCACCGGATCTTGTGCGACGACCAGCGGCTCGACTGGTCAGCATTTCGAGGTAGGACTAGCCTCGACAATTTTCAATTCTTTAAGTCAAACCACGACCGGAATTGAAAGTACAAAAAGTAAAAACAAAGAGTTACTCTTCTGTTAGGGGTCTTAGAAAAGTATAAATCCTTTTTTCCCCTCCCGTCTGTAGAATACCTACTTACCTACCGATCTAGCGTGCGGGAAGCGTCACTTTACCACGTCAGTTTCGTTTCTCATGAATCCGAGCCACTTCGGACATTTCCGGGATTTTACCGCAGAGATTTGGAAGCAATCGGATGTTTTCGGAGATATTTCCCACGCTTTGAATTTTGACGTTTGTCAATTCTGACAGTCATGTCAGTTAATGTATTCGTGTCGTAGAAAAACTATAGTATGCAACACGTTCGGTAAATTTTTTAACTCACGAGTTTATTTGACAAAAGCGGAGCGCAGCGGAAAAAAAAATGAATTTTGACAAGCTGTAACTCGGAAAATATTACGATTTCGAATTTTTGTTACTTGCTACCATTATTTTACCACGTTGAATCTTTCCTCCAAGTTTCCTTAAACGCATTTTCGTAATAACATACCTTCACAAACTAACATTTAGTAAGAACTGTCGTTGTGTTTTTTGTTAAATTGACCTCAATTTTCACTGATAAGAAAGTACCTGTCACAAAAACTGGTTCTCCATTTTATTTACGACATAATGGTTTATTAGTAAAGCATCTCCTTTGAATATAAAGTCATTGATGTTTCGCATCCAAAAACGTAGCCCTTTTACCTATTTTGGCAGTAGATACGGCCTTCTACATAATCTGCCACCACCATTGGATTATAGCCACGCCTCCCGCGAACCCAAGGGTGGGGTTGCTGCCGACTAGCTCCGCGTTCGACCAAATCGATCTCGGTGCTGGAGTGCGATGAACATTTCGGAACAAAAAATCGATTTATTTATTCAAAGTCCAAGTGGAAAAAAAAATCCGCGCTCACCACGTTCGCAGAATTCGAACGCGCGCGGATATTTCTAGAAGAACGACGTCAAACTGCCGCGGCGATGAAATAAAACGCATCGGAAAGAAAAACAATAATTTATTCCGCTTAATTAAAGAGTTTTGAACCTTAAAAGCTAACGATTGTCGGTCAATTTATCAAGTATCACGTTCCCCATCTGTACGATGTAAGCACACCAGCACCACGTCCTCCCCCCTCATAATCATCTGCCTCACGAACCTCCTGCACTGCTCGGTGTTTTTGCTGATCCTTACCGTTTGAGTTTCCGGCAGTCGAACCCGTCCGCGTCGCTCGGCGTCTTCGTAGGGGATCGATTCTGAAACCAAGCTCTAAGCTCACGCACCAAGACCAATCTACCTGCCTACGCACCTAGCAAAGGAGTTTTGGTCTTTCGCTTTCTCTTCCAGATCTCTTCCGCGTTTTCGAGAAGCAAGTTCCAGTGTTTATCGAACGCCAACAGCGTCGCGGTGCAGACGCCACGGACGCCGCGGTCATCTCGCGTCACAATCTGCAACACGACTTCTAGTACTCATCCGCATAGTTGCAAACCGGAACCAACAAAAAACTTTAGCCTCGTAGGCAATATTTTCGAAAATTTAAGGCATTTTCAAAGGAATACTGAAACGCGCCGACGGATTAAAATTTTCGACCCGTTTTGCCCAAGGTGCAAATAATATCTTCGACGACCGTCGTGTTCATAGAGGCGTTGAGACCTTGTACGATGGCCTCGCGATGCTGGGACCTTGCTCCATCAAGGTTCGGGAAAGTACCGAAACGCGTAGCGGTACGCGTACGCGTAGGTACTTCCGAAAATACCAGCTCATTGCGCCAAGACTTTATCTACACAGTGTTCTGTTTACCACGGCGTTGATCCGGACGTAGATGGTTTAGGAAATGCGAGGTGATATTCAAACAGGGCACTAGCTCCAATTGTGTCTTTCTGTGTCGCTTGACAACAGAAAGTAATGAAAAAAGGATAACTTTACTCTTTCTTCTTCTTTACCTAGCACTTGGCTATTATACTATTTACACTTTTAGACGTGGAAAAATGGAGATAAGCCATTAGTTGCTAAATTCTATTTTCTTCTAAAGTTCCAAAACCATTCAAGCATTTGAAACTGTTTATTGACTCTTGAAGACAATTGTACAAATCTTGTATTTACATAATTTATGTTAAAATTTAGCCTTGTTCAAGTGTTACGCAGCACATGAATATTTGATCTCTTTTCAAGAAAGTTCTCTAGGTAAATCGATTGCAATTAAAAAGTATTCAAAAGGCTTCATCGGAAGGAAGGTTAGTTTAAAACGCTGAAAATCTCTTCGCGGTAGTAGCGTAGTGTAAACACCGCGATGCAGCTCTCTCTCTCTCTTTCTCGACGTTATACGCCCGACCTTGACTAATACGAAATTCTTGGCCTGAAGCACTCGGTGTTTGCTTTAATTTACGAAAAAAGCGAGTGACAGAACAAACTCGGTAAGTAGACCATTATCGGCGGCGCTGTTGCCGCAACTAATGGAAAAAATCTGACCCGCCCGGTAACGGCAACACCGACGCAATATTCTGTGTGAATTTACAACGTTCGTAAATGTAAGTAATTTTTATTAATATAGGATCATTTTCTTTTTCTTCTTCTTCTTCTATATTAGGCGCCTGTTTTACTTCCATGTAATTTTTATCACAAGTTGGCATCCCGTCTTTTTCGTGGGCGTCCTATATATACACTCCTCCGACGATTTATCTCTTGCTATCCTTACTATCTGATGTTCAGATATTCTATCTATATGTTGATTCCATTCTTGCTTTCTATTTCTTGTCCAGGTGTTAATGTTTTCAATTCCACATATGTGTCTTATGTTTTCATTTGTTTCTCTATCCCAGAGTGATTTTTCTGCTATCTTAGATGTTTCCGGTCTTGTTTCAGCAATATATGTCATGACTGGTCGGACTACAGATTTTGTTTCAGTTCTTAAGTATTTATTCTTCCATATCGTGTCGTTTGGACATCAAGTTCCAGCTTACATCTAATTCGTTCTTTAGAAATTACTAGTAATTTAGTTTTTTGGCCGATTGTTCATATTAAATTTGTTTGCATTTATATTAAACTCATGCAGCAATCTCTGCAAATCATCACAATTCTCAGCTACCAATACAGTATCGTCGGCATCACACAACACTTGTATGTCTTTATTCCCCATTTTCATTTTCAGATAGATTTATCTAAAGGAAGTTCAGACATTCTGGTTGTAGATTACTCCAGAATAATATTTTCTCATGATGCAGACATTGAACATCCAGTATAAGCTGTGCCCTCCCATCTATCATATCGCATACGTGTTTAACAGGCAATAGGTCACGATCCATGAAATATTGAAGTTGGAGGTGCCTTTATTCTTCCCTTCTACGATCACAAACTTAAAACGTGAGTTGTCGACTCCATCCCACTCCTGATTCCCGCGAGTCGTACTGGGTAATGGTAATAACCGATGCATAGTTTACCTTCATTCATGTGCGATTACGCTGATTGAGCTGAAACACTTTCTAATGGCACCAAATGTTGGTTAGTAAGATTTCTTCGCAATTAGTGGTTTTTCTTAAAACTCTAGTGCCCTTACGATATGGAAGAGGAAGTAAATTACCTCGTATTGGGACGATTTGCCCAACATCGCAACAATATTGTACCATTCCGGCCAATTCAGTTTCCAATTTCCCAGCATTTGAGCAATGAGTTGTCTGAATCGGCGAGGCCCGGAATTTCACAATGCCAAAGGATATCTCAATCATCAAAACGGTTTAGTGCTCCTCCAGGATTTCTAGATGATGATTTGCCAATTTGCTTTACGATATACCAGAATATAAACGTCTCCTAGTGCGATCGGTATGCCTCGAGGCTCCGCGTCGGGGCCTTTTTTGCGACGATGAGCTGGCAACGCGGCGCCACGACTTATCGGGACTGTCCTTAACAGTAAAACGCGGAATTACGAATCTCCAGCGCGCCGGCATTCTGTGCAAACGCCTTGCGTTATTGCCTCGTTTAACCATGGCGTTGACCATGATTACTATTCATCCATATAAATTATTCTACCATTGCTTATTGCCGGTGAGGTCGCTAGACGTTATCTACAGCGTGAGCGCGCTCGAAAAGGATCAGGTGCGCGAGAGAACCGCAGAAACATCCGACATAATGTAAACAACGCCACAACACTTTCGAAATGTAAAAAATATATTTGAGGACTTATTGCGAATCAAGAAGAAAGGAGGACGCGATTGATTTGGGATTTGAGAGTTTATTTTCGCCACCCGGTACACCAACCAGACCGCTTCTAGGTTTTCCTTGTTGAGAAACTGTCTTGGGCGACATTATACTAAGGCCGGCGATTAGATTTTTTCAGTGCGGTCGAATATTTCTAATGGTTTTCGTGCTGACACCGGTCGTCATTGACTGGCTTTATTTGGTCGCCGCGATCGTTGTTGATTCTACGAATTTCATATTTGCCTTTTTAATTCCTCCGACTCTCCGTCAAGACCACATCGCCGCATTCTCTTTAGCATCTTCTTGGACCACGAGGAAAATCCAAAATTAACCAACATCAGCTGACTGACCCAGGACTGATAGCCACAAAAAAGGAAAGAAAATTCATTCCAACAATTACAGAATTGTGACCAAGAGGACTGATACAAAATATGACAGCACTCCTATCCGATGAGGCCACATTCCCTGATTGTAGTAATTTCCAAAATTAAGCAAGACGTCACAACGACTACTGAAGTGATGGCACACTTTCCAATCCATTATACTCGCTCCTCTAAAAGAGCCATGTACTCTAGAGTAAGTACAGTATCTCGTTCAGGGGAAGATTAAGTAGTTCTTCTTCTTCTTCCAATGCGTATCCATTAATGGATGTTTGCGATAACATTTTCCATTGCTTCTCTGTTTCTTGCGATATGTATCATTGTATGTATGTAGCACTCTTCTGAACCTCAAGAAAGCTTGTCGGGCCTGTTCTATACGGTATTTTATTTCGTTGTCCGATGTCCAGTCTTCGAAAAGCCAGGTACCCAAGTACTTGAATTTGTCCACTCTTTCTATGGGTCTAGCGTTAAATGTTATGGTGGAGTTTTGAAACGTGTTTAGATTCCTGGATATGATCATGAATTTTGTTTTTTTGGTATTAATATTTAAGCCCATTGATTTGCTCTGTTCTCCTACCTTATTGACCAGTTGTTGTAGGTCGTGTATATTGTCAGCGATTAGGACCGTGTCGTCCGCATAACGAATATTATTAATCCAAACCCCATTAACCTTGATTCCCATTTCCACGTCTTCTAAAGCCTCCTGGAAAATCGCCTCCGAATATAAATTGAACAAGAGTGGAGACAGCACACATCCCTGTCGCACTCCCCTCCTAATCTGTATGGTGTTCGACATAGTATTGTCCAGTTTTATTTGTGCCGTTTGGTTCCAGTACAAGTTCTCTATGCAACGGATGTCTTTTTGGTCTATATCAAGCCCTTTAAGAAGTTGGACTAACTTGTAGTGTTTTACGCGATCAAAAGCTTTTTCATAATCTATGAAACATAGACAGACATCCTTTCTCTGGTCGTAGCAGTTCTGGACAAGTACTTGTGTTGCGACTATCGCCTCTCTTGTACCTAGCCCCTGCCTGAACCCAAATTGTGAGTCGCTCATGTCTCTCTCACATTTCTTGTATATTCTTTGATGTATGATTTTAAGAAATATTTTTAAGGTATGGCTCATCAGGCTAATAAGCCTGTAATCTTCACATTTTTTTGCATTGGTCTTCTTAGGCAGGGGGATAAAAGTAGAGGACAGCCACTGTTTGGGATAATGACCTGTCTCATAGATAGTGTTAAATATTTTATGTAGTCCTGTGATGCCTCTTTCATCGAGTAGTTTAAGCATCTCTGAAGGAATTTCGTCTGGGCCAGCCGCTTTGTTGTTTTTTGAATTACGTATAGCTTTTTCAATCTCGTCTTTAGTAATCGATAGTCCAGTTAGGGTGTTATCAATACTAACTGGGGGTCTTTCATCGTCAAAAAGTTCTTCTATATACTTTTCCCAAACATTGATTTTCTCATTGGTATCGAGGGCTATATGGTTATTATTATCAACTGTTATATTTGGTCTCATTTTTTTATATATGCCAGCAGTCTCCTTCAGCTTTTTGTGCAGATTGAAATCGTCGTGCTGATCTTGTAGTTGTTCTATCTCAAGGCATTCCTGTTTGAGCCATTCGTTTTTTGCTATTCTAATCTTTGGTCTTATAAGTCTTTGAATATCTTTGTACGTGCTGCCGTCTGTTTCGTTTTTATGTTTTCGACGTTCATCCATTAACAACAAAATTTCATCGGTCATCCATCTTTGTTTTTTGTTCTTTGCTTTATAACCTAATCTGTTTTGCATTGAGTTTCTTACAATGTCCATCATCCCTGTCCAAGATTGCGTAGGCTCTTCCCCAATGTTTGTTGTTATTGTCTGGATTTGTGTGTTTATTTCGTCGCACATTTCAGCCTTTATTATTGGATCCTTAATTTTTTCTAGTGCTATTCGTCGATGTACGGCCGACTTTCTTTGATTCGACAAAGCAATCTTTATGACGGCTACCAAGTAGTTCTTGGGGCTCACTAAATTGAGCTTTCATTACTCCTGATTGGCTGACAAAGTAGGAACTAAGCTTCATAATCACGTGCCAATAGGGCTTAGAGGCCAATTTTGAATCTGAGGCGTGGCTCCAACAATTAATAACATCGAGTGCCTCAGTCGTAAACTTTTCCAATACACAAAGAACTACCGCGTTGTCTTGCTTCTCCTTCTCCTTTCTCTCTTGGACCAAGCATATACAAAAGTACCGGCAAGTAACCGGTAGACAGAAAATAGACTTTAAGGTGACCAGGTTAGCTTCATGTCTTCAAATTCTACAGGATGGCGATTCAGCGTATCCGATCGCTCGGCTGTTTGTTATATTATCCGCGAAAATTACACACACAGCGTCAACAATTAGTAAATTTATCGACCAGTGAACCCGGTGCACCCGATCGATCGAAACCATAACGACTATAATTACCCATTTCAATCGCGAGTTTAACAAACCCGAGCGGATCCGTTAAAATCACGAAACGGGTCGTATTCGAAACGTTTGTTTTCGAAATTACGCACGCGCGAAATGTCAATGTTGTCGCTACGGTTCAAGAATAAACCGCGACGCGCGTGTTTATCGGCAATTTCTGTACTGTATTTCGACTGTTACCTTGGGCGTTTTTTTTTCTTTTGGTTGATTTTAATACTTCCGCAAAACTACTGACTGTGGCCCTTGGTCAGCGCAACCTTTAAATACATTTCTGCGAGTGATAAATACGACTACACTGATGAATCAAATACTTTTTCCTACATTAAAATGATGCAGATGCAAAGACCGCAACGCAAGGTGGCTCAGAGGAAACCCGTGTTTTCGAAATCAACATAACCTCTTATTTTCAGGGTAACTATAATGTAATTCCTTGCAAATGAACTTTTCAGTGTCGTGGCCATAGATTGCTAACCTCTCTTCACTATGCAGAGGTCTATAATGGTCAGCGCATTAGTGTTCACCGTGTGATAAGTAAAAGTTCATAGTACAAGGGTACTAGATGAAACCATAAGAGAGTGATCACCACTGGCAATATGCCAACGTCGACGAGGCTGTCTGACATTATTTCCCTACATTACTTCATTTAGCTTCATCAATAAAAAACTGTCATACTTATGTCGAAAACATACGTTTTCTCTTTGTCACCTTTTGGAACAACGACTCCTGGCAACGGAGAAAATTAGAAACGAACGAATGATCATAGATCATCAAGAACATCTGAAGAGCGAATTCGGAAGTAACACTTTAATTACATATCATCGCGATCACCAGGATAGGCAATAAGAAACTTTCGTAATAGTTTTTGTTTAGGTTAGAACGAACCCATTAGAACGAAATCAGAAAGAAGCTAAGAAGAAGAGATGAGATGATTTCAATGTGTTACTTATCTTTTTAGTACTAGCTCGTGGGTGCACATTTACACCAGGGTTAAGTTTAAAAAGTTATAACGGAATCTACTTCTATTAGAAACATTACATTACAAACATACTTTTTCTTCTGCAAACAGAATATAAATAAACAAATGGCTACCTAGCCTGGCAGGGCAGTTAAAATGCTTGCGTGGGTCAATATCTGATGCACAAACGCACAAAACGGAAAATACGTTCAAATTTTTCTATCCCGAAATATGAAGAAGACTTGCCACCAGTTCTTGTACTATGAGAGGCATTCTCTCTTGCCTTTAATAGCATGCGACTGGTTAACGCGCTTACAGTATGGTCTAAATTCTACCTTCTTGTGGAAAAACCAAATCAATTGCATGATTGCTACTCTCTTTTAAGCATCCCCAGAACACGCATAGATCTACTGTTCTTCGGTTTAATCGACACCGCTGTTAATTTTATGAAAAATTACTTGCGAAGTCGTCGGCAGAAGGTTACGTTGGGATCTGACTTTTTACCAATTTCAGGGCGAGTTCCACAAGGACCTTGATTGTTCTATCATTACACCTCCGACTTCTCCTAGACACCTAAAAAGTTGTATGCTGATGATATGCAAATATGCTTATCATTATCTTATTATTATGTCTTTCAATGCCATGAATGAGGATGTTGAAGTTATCTCTAGAATCTCCAAAGCCCATGGTCTGATTTAAATAATTACAAGACTCAGGTTGCTTTTTGATTCTCACTTGTCTTATTTACTGCAGAAGTCCTACTTTAAATTGAAAGTACTTTACATGAATAAAAACTACTTATCTACTAAGACTTAAATTGTGTGACTCTCTATTGGGATATGCGAACATTGGATACTGGCCGGCCCTAAGACGGAAAGACCAATACAGCTTAAAAAAATTGCAAAATGCCTGCCTGAGATACTCGTAAATTTGATCATATAAGATCGACACTCAAGGATTCTCAGTGGTAAAGTCGAAAAGCTCTCTATGATAGACTGGTCTGGGGTAGTGATATACATAACAGGGCGACTCGTCAGCGTAACCAGTTCTATGTTCCCATGTATGGCTGAGTTTCAGAACTCTCTAGCAAAGAAACTTATTAAAACTTACCATTCACTTCCACTGGATATTATTACTTTTTCTTCTACTTCTACTTTTAAAAATAAATCGTTTTTCTTTTAGTCGTTTTTGAATATTGTCGTTACTTTTCTACAGTGTTTATTTTTTTTCTACCTTTTTTTTCCCCTTTAATTGGTTTAAAATTGTAATATTTTGAATTTCGGTGGACTTATATTTGTTGGCCTTTTTCTTGTTAAATTCTGAATACGCTACCACATTGTGTCGGTGATTAGTTGGAGTAGAGCTGCTAGACCTCGCCAGTGCCAATTTTTTTTCTTGCTTTCTTTTTATATGAATATAAAATTTTTTACATTTATCCCCCTTTGGGTGGACTTATATTTGTTAGTTTTTTTTCTTCTTAACTTCTGAATATTCTACTACATTGTTTCGGTGGCTATTTATTACTATTATTATTATTATTGTTATTATTATTATTATTAACATTATGCTTCTATGTTTGGCGCTCATCTGCAACAGTTTGCAAATCATTCAGATTTTTCTGGATACAACTGCGTAGTGTCGTCTCTATTGATATACCTAACGCGTTACGCAAAAGTTACGGTTATCCCCTCCCTTCGTGCGTGTGTGAGGGTTAAAATAAAACTACAATCTCTGATTGAACGCTGTGTTCTTTTTTTTTACCTTGATCCTAGACTTTTCTGCGACGTACTTTCGCATCGCGGCGAATGGTCCCGCAAAGCTCTCCATTCTGGTGAAAACGTTTTTTCTTTCTTTCTTCGGCCTGGTCGTTTGCACCGGCACTGCAAATATTGAGATCTGCATTTGGCTTAATATTATTACTAAACAATTATGCAATTGTTACCGAACGATTCGAATATGCAAAACCTATCGTATGCGGAAACCAAGAGACCGAATAAACAGTGCCCCCAAAAATAAATCCGCAACTAGGTCGCGTGTAGATATTTTATTAAAAACGTTCTTTGGCGTATTTTTTTTGGGCCGATAAGCGATGATAAATCGAAACCGAAATAACAACGCGCGACTAAACAACCCAAAAACAAAAAAAATGGCGGGAAATATTTTATCGGTGTATCTCTTCGGGCAAGTTGCTTTTGGCCGCTCGCCACATACCTCTATTGTTTTCGTAGGCTAGTGCCTACGTTCGGTATTATTTATTAATATAGTTTCGGGCCTGAAATACTTGCGAATTTTTAAACTTTGCACCGTCGCAGAGGCGGCGAGAAAAAATAACAGCTGATCCCGTACTAAACAATAATAATAGACCGGCTAGTCTCTGTGTATGCACGTTGCCGTGCGAACTTGTCTAGGAGTTCATTCACCCTTCGGCGATGTTGCTGTTTGGTCCGTACCAGCGGCGTAACTCTAGTATGAAATCTGGAAACCAAGAGCTCGCAGTTCGAAAGAGAAAATCTAAAGCCAAGCTTAGTACTCTTAGATAAAGCTCTGGGATATTAAAGATGGCATAAAACCGCAAAACGGTAAGCGGAGAAGTAGTTTGCAGCCATAACTGATATCGCGTTAGCTATAACTTGATTATATTGGGAGATTTTATCGATAGAGAAAAATAAACGAAATACCCTTACCCGCCTATGCCTAGCGTCGACTAGGCTCAAAACCATGCGCGATAACATCAAAAGCGCAATGTAATATTACACTTTTAACGTCCGCCGTACCGACGCTAATGATAAATTCAACGCGGCGTACGAGCTTGACAGATTAGGGAACTTTATAGACTTTTATGACATTATTGAACCAAACCGAAGCTGTAAGGCTTTTAGCTTTTAAAGCTTCAACCTTTGGGTTGGTGTAATGAATCTGCGTGTGAATATATCGCGCACCATCTATCAGAACCATCTTAGAGGTGCCACCGGCAGAAAGAATGAAGACGCGTTAGGGATCAGTGAATTAAAAAATATTGATTAACTTTCCATCAGCAACCAATAAATGAAAAACAATAATGTAAAGATAATCAAATCAAACAACAGCTTAATAAAGCAGAATCGAATTTAATCCTTCCGGTTCGACAACTACGTCTTAACCATAGACAACTATAGTATATTGGTTATAGATGGGAAACTTCACTCTTGGAGAATTGAAACAGCATCACTGACGCCATCTAGCGCGATGTAAGAAACTACTAGAGAAGTTCAGAACCAAATTCCTTCTTCTTCTTCTAAATTCTTCTTCTTTTTCATTCAATTTCAGTAAATATATGTTGCCAATGTACCTACATATTATACTCAAGAAATACGAGCAGAAGTAATTTGGGTACTACATCCTTATACAATTTTATTACTTTTTGTTGTTAACTGACTTGACTTGTGAGAAGAGTAAACGAGGCGGAAATTATCATTTTTAACCATTTCATTGTTGTAAACTGCATCCCAATAAATCACTGTCCTCTCTAAGTATCGTCAACCAAAACACAAAGGGGCCTAACTTGGTTTTTCTTAATTTTGAGGAGCAGCGGTTAAAGACTTTTTGCTATTCGTAATTAAGTGCTAACCGAAGTTCTTTTTTGGACAATATGTATATGCGAGCAGGTACCATTTAACTATGTTAAGTATATATTTTTTTCGTTTTAATTATTGAGATTTTTACAAAAAAAAAAGATAAGTCAATTCGTGATATGGGCCAGGGTATGGGCAAATGATTGCACTCAAAAAATATTAAAAGTAAACTAAATATTACTAAAATTAGGAATGGGTATTGTGAATGGTTCTTAAAATACCTATATACAGAGGGGACACCGATTTTGAGATACTTTTACTTACGGCGTCGCTTGATGCTAGCCTGGTAAATTTTTCTAGCAGAAATAAACATATTTGCGTGCAATAATTATGTGTCTGTATTTAACAAATATGAACAAATATGCCTTTTCATGTTGTCGTCATGAAAACATATTTTTAGCAACAACACCAGGTTTATGAAAATCATTTTAAAAAATGTATTTCATGATGGCAAGAGCATATCGAATTTTGCTCATACATTTCAGTCTTTTTTGAGAATTTTGAAAATACTCCTTGTATTTTAAAAAGTCTTACGCCTCTTCGTCTTTTTCACCAATTTTCTTTCCTAGGTACCCAGCAACATACCTGCTCTTTCCTCTGTAAGATTTAAAGTAGGTAAATTTGCAAGTATTTGTGTGAACTGCGGAAGTGTAACGAACTCATCTTCTGGAAGTCCCTAAAATGACAACAAAATAATAAACACGTACACACGAAAAAGACATTATTATTATTATTATCCCATACCTATTATTATTATGACGTATTATTATATAATTAAGTACCTGCGACATAAGTCTTTGTAATGTGAAGAATAATTCTGATTGATCATCTTCACAGTTGTTTCCAACATTATCAAAAAAGCAAAATCACTGCAACCACAAAATGTTTAAAAAATCCAAAAACACTCACTACTACGCAAAACTAGTCATCTTCACAATGTGAACACGGCGAACACGGACCATAGATGCGGACGGATGCGAATTTTAGATTTAAACCAATTTCTGTCAAAATTCATCTGTTTGCAGCGCCTCTGACGGGATGTAAGCAATTAAATACGGTCTGAAATATTTCGGAGAGTGCCCAGGGTATGGTCTTAACTAACTTATCGTAAACCCAAAAAACATCGCATAATAAGACCCTAATTATATCTCCTCACCGCAACTTGCCCTCCCTGTCTTTTTTGCCTAAGACGCGATCTTACGATCAGCAAAAAAACAAAGCGGCGCCTCTTTCTTACGGGGTCTTGTCGGATATGACGTAATACTATAAATACTCTAACAATATGAGTAAGTAGAGTAAAAATATAAACCATAAAGATCAAAACGCATACTTATTGAACATAACTTAAAAATAATTTGACGATTTTTTAAAACCCTCCGGCTCCGGGTTTAAGAGAAAACAGAGCTTCACTGTAACACCCACTCACTCTCCATCTCTATCCAAATACCTACGTAATTACGTTGAAAAGTAGGCCACGACGCGGGTGAAGTCATTGACAGGTTAAGTTTTAATTTTAGACGTTTTTAGTGTTTCGGGGTTCCCGCCCGACTCCCCCCCCCCCTTCCAGCCGAGTCAACGGCCTAGCGGGTCTAGTTTGGCACACGACCCAGAAATTTGGTTACGCAACGTACGCCGATATTTGGGAGGATGGGCTCAAAAAGAGAGGCAATGGTGGACCGGCTATAAGTGATTATTCGTCATCCAAACGAGCCATCTTTAAATACAATTTTGGAAAACAGTCAAGCCATTGAGCAATCACTGATTACGAGTCTATCAAAATGTGAGGTTATAAAAATTATAAATTTGACTGAAGCGATGCCTAACTAATTTAACAACGTAATTTCGATTTCCATTGAATTATAATTAATTTAGAGCATTGGCCAAAAGCACACGAACAAAATACGAAAAGTGAGGTTAGTTTATTTTCGTATCTGTTTATGTTAGACATTCGGCGCTTGTCCTGTCCTGAATACCAATCTTTGAATGTTTTGGGAACGTCAGTTGGGCAGGAACTTTATTTATAAAACGCGTTTTGGTCGGTGCTGCAATTTCGTTTTTTTTTCGATTTTAGTTTCTACAACTGTGAAAGGTCAAGACTTTTACGTTTTTTGATGGTGCATCCGTAGATAGAGACGGTTAATTTGCAAGAAATACCCTCGTTTACTCAACAATTTTGACACCGCATTCTTTTGTTTCATTAAAAAGTAGCCAATATGGCGAATAACCTCTCTACCTTCTAAAGCCATCCAAACTTGGACATCCTATACAGTCGCTTGTCAATTGAATTGAATGTATTCGTAATTTGCCACGCTAACGACTTACGTTGATGTTCTTGCCACCGTCTTTGTGCGGCACCGGCCGGTTTTTTCCTTTCAGGCTGAACGCCGCCTCTATCCACGTGCGATTTCCATTTCGCAATATTATCGAATGTCCGCGCTTTCGGCTGCGGTAACTTAACGTTATCACTTCTCAACGCCTCTAACGGGTCGAATTGAGCACTAAAAAAGTCCAACCTTGCGTCGTATTCCTGATTTTCCGTGTTCGTTTCGCCGCCTGACGTGCCCGGCCGTCGAGATTCGGCCATATTGAAACAACTGATTTTGACGGGACGGTTGCCCGGCAACGGCGACGTTCGGGTTCGCGACCCGGCTAAGTCCCGCGCGTTTTGCCACAGCGCGCGTTCATCCATATCGATGTTGAGACGCTTATCGGCGCGCGCGCTGGACTATAGAAAGTATTTCCTAACGCAATTATAAATTTCTCGGCTTTCACGCCGAATAAATAAAACGTAGAACGGAATTTCTCTAACGGGCCATTATGCGTGCTTAAAAATGACGACGGTTGCGCAACCCGCCGCGGTGGTTGCAACGATGATGATCGCATTATCTCACAGTCGGCTGGGCAGCGAAAGTTTTTCGACTTAATTGCTGTTTCCTTCAACGACCGTTTGTTGTTGTCGAGGCGCGCATGTTATGCCTTTGCAAATGGCGTTTGTTTTTTTCTGCGCCGGTTCAAGTTACGGTTATTTTCTCAAACTGGTCGGAATTCTTCGCGATATGCGATAATTCAGTTCGCCGGAAACATCGATAACCCGAGTTGAACGACATCGCAGTTTTCCCAACTTTCTCTCCGCCGGCGGAGTGAAATGAGCGGCGAAGAAAGGGAAGAAAAAATGAAGTGAAAGTGCAACAATAATGCCCGAGCTGATATAATTTACGATTACGCCATGCTAATATCGAATCCTTCCGTGTTTAGAGAGAGAAGGAAAAAATATATTTGCGTGTGGTTTCATCGCAGTTGATTCGGAAAAATTTCGAATTGCTCTTTTGGTTAAATTAATTCCAATTGCAAAAAATACCTTATTCTGCGCAACAGATAAGCATTGTCGCACTAAACCAGCGATTGGGGGATAGATATATTAAATTACATCAACAAGGGAAAGTTTCCACAGACCACAAACCAAAAAATTCTGAGAAGTCTTCCCCCCCCCACAACAACCAACATTTTTTTCAAAATATGCCTAGATCTCGTTAGATGTTGTGAGAAAATCAGTTGAGTGGGTGGAAATCTCAGTTTAGATAGAATATTTGAAGCATACATACGATGGATTAACGCCCTGGTTACTAAAGTTTAAAGCGAAGGCGGTTACTTTTATCTGACTAGTTCCCTTCTTGTTTTTTCTAAAAAATATCTAAGTCAATGGTTTGAAGGTCCTGTTTGTAGCAGATATTTATAGTGTCCTTTTCGATTCTGCAGAAATGCAAAATATAGGAAAGCCAATTGCAGTTTCGCGTGGGGCGTAGAGGGGTCGAGGGGGGCTAAATCCTTTTCCATTGCGATAAACAACTTTTTCTTTAATAACGAAAGGAACCCAGACTCAATCTAACCTTCTAAGTGAACGGCACCAAAAAGAACGCACAAAAACTAAAAATTATGAATTCAAAACAACGGAAAAATTAGGTTATAACCCGTGGCATAAAGGTGAGATTTCCAACCACTTTTAAGCTGCGCAGAGTAGTAAATTTTCCCATAAATGCCAAGATGTTTAATTTAATTTCTCAGTTTGAAGAATTTGTTGCGTAAGTTAACTGAGTGAAGTTATTTGTTGTAAATTGGGTTTTTTCGACTTGCAAAATTTAAAATCTTTATTTTTACAACATACCATAATTTGTTTTCGTTTCAGGTGTGACCAAAACTGGCGTACATGTATTGGAGGCGGTTTGACATACATAGGGATATTTCAAGGTTCGTATATCCGTACATGATCACCGTCCATCGAACCAATCCGAATTATTGATGATATGGTGGAAGCGCGGAGTCTTTTAATCTGAATTTGAATTCTTCAAAAAGTGACGAAAACTAGTGGATTGTCCTATAAATATAAACATCCAAGTAATTACTGCAAAAATTAAGCACACTAGGACATGAGTATACTGATCAAGGGGAAAAAAAATATTTCAGCCAAAGAACTTAATTAAAACACCCCTATCTAATGTATTTAATGCGTGTTCTTGACAACATGGCGGAAGCGCCGAATTTGAATCTAATTTTATATTCTTCAAAAAATGACGGGAACAATGGCGTTCTAATGGATATACTGGATATGGAGTATACTTATCAAAAGTCTTATTTCAGTCAAAGAATTTACTTAAAACACCCTGCGGCGCCAATTTCTTAATTTAAAAATATATTTGGCATTTTAAAAAAATGTTCCCTTTACTTTTTCCGGCCAGGTGTCTTTTAAAACCGCGCCGCCGCATTAGAGAGGACGCGTAGCCCTAAGGGCCGAGCCTCGACGGCGGGCCACGCCACCCGTACGGTGGCGGGGACTCAGCAACCTCAGCAGGGGGCGAAGCACGCCGATCGCCTACCCCCAATGTCCACTCTGGCGATGCCATTCATCGACAACGACCTACTGTGGAGTTCCGATCATGATGGCAAAATGGTCGACTTGTCTTCTTGCCTCCAGGTACGGCCCCCCCCGAAATCCTACAATTAAGGGCGCTTCATCACAGTTCTTCGCAGGACGCTTCCGTCGCGGTGGGCCAACAATCGACGGCGACCAGTGGAGGCGGACTGGGTGAACTTTCGCAATCCGACCTTAGCACGTTGGTACCGCCCATGGGCGCGGAAGGGCCGATGCCCGACACCGACGATATTTTCAAACACCTGTCCGACACGACCGCTATCGAAATCGAAAACATCCTGAGCGAATTCAACTCCACCCCCTACATCAAAGTGAGTGGAGCCATATGGATAAATGAACCTCGTTCCTCTCAGAGAGCTCGATTACCCGTCGATAGATGACGCCCGTGCACTTTTAACGAATTTGTATTCGCAGCAGGAGGAAAACAACAACGTGCCGACGGAGCACGACTGCAGCGGTTCGTCTACTGCGGTTACCGTCCACAAGAGCGCGCAAACGTTAGCAGAAATGCGGAAGTTTACGATAGCCGCGGCGAATCCTATCCTGGCGGAGAAACTGTCGACACCTAGCGAGCAAAGTCTGCATCAGCATGGCGGTAGTGCGGACGGCCGCTCGCAGCTGGCGCTCCTGACGCCGAAAGTGGAAAAAGGTAAGTCGGTTTCTTTATTTAATTTCAAGCCAGAGCGGAGAATAATGCAGCGTACGTTATCTTTTTTCCTCGTTAAAAAAATATGCCCTTCATAAACAAGGAAATAGGAAATAAGTTAAGGAATTATGCGCTTATATGCCGCTTTTTTATTTATTTTTATTTTATTTATTTTCGCTTATTTATTTACAAAATGGAAATTTAAAATGGAAAATTTACGCTGGAGCAATTTTGGTCACCACGTCTTCAACTTTTTAAAAAAAAATTACCTTAGCATAAATAAATATCAGAAGTTGGCCTGCGGGCGCATTGAAATTTTAATTATCGTTTGTCGACACGTTCGATAATGAACTATGAATTTCAGTAATTGCACATGAAAGCGTTGCTCATTGCGCCTGAGCATATCCGCCAAAGCATTGTCTTGTTTTCACGTTCGTGATCGGTAACAATACGGCCGGTTGCCGTAACGTATGAGGTGCTTTCCTTTTCACAGGGCCGTAACGTAAAAAACCACAGTACCAAACATTATATCTTCGCAATGATAAAGGAAAATTTGGTTTTAACGTTTTGAAAAAGTAAACTTGTCCGGAAAACGTCAATTGGGTAACTGACAGATTTCTAGAATCGATCTCAGGTTACTGAGTGACCTTTGTGGGGGCTACAAAATTAAGCAAATTAGAGCAACGTCTTCCTTCAGTGACGTCATAAGTTATTTTAAATATTTAATTCTATTGTTATCCTGAGTTTGGTTAGTTACAAATCGTCCTATCGTCTAACATCCTGGAGCGACGAGTGGAGTCATCAGGTTACCATTTGACGTCATCATAATATTTAATCAATGAAAACTGTCTGCCGTCACGTGGCGGCAACTAAATAAATTACAGTTTCTTTCATAAAAAATACGTTTTTTAATAGTTATGTCAATATCGAATCGGTATTTTTAGGACACGTCATTCTGAAATTGTTACGAGTCCGTCCCTGGTGCACTTCTTGATGTCGATATCTCGACACTTTGATTTTAATGCCGATAGTTCATGCGTTCGCATACGCGGACTCATAAGTAGATTCGTGAATGAGAATCGGGCCACAGCCATTATAATTATGGTTAATCGCCGTTTCCCCAAGTAAAAACGCTTGTTAACTTAATTGCCCGTCCTCTCTATCGTTTGAAATTTTACTTTTTATATTTAATAAGCTTTCGTACTCTAATTTCAATTTATTATTTTTTATTACCACCTTTAAACCCCAAAATAAACTGCATTCAGCTTCGAGTAAACCCACAAATTTCCGTTCCGCTCGGACATATGTTTTTCGTTTTTTTTATTTTTTGATGAATGGTAAGAAGTATGCAGGCAATTAAAATTTAAAAATTACTTTGAAAAACCCGCGTAATTCGGCCATGGGGGGCCATTAATTTTCTAACCCTCGTTCCAAATCTGGCAAAGGGTTACGTTTAATGGGAGTCCCCTTTCCGTCTTTGAATTCCAGTCGTTGTCGGTTACTAGAGATATTTTTAATTTATTTTTACTTTTTTGGTATAATTTTTTTATAAGAATATTTTTTTGTTTATTTTGTATTTAATATTTATCTTATTATGCAACGTTTTTCTTAAATATTTTTTTCAGTTAACAACAAATAAAAATGAAAAACTGTCCTTGCAAAACAGGTTTTAATTTTTTTGTGATTATATCCGACACTTATTATGCGTTATTGAATGTTCCGGAGAACTAAGAAGGATAACTATTTCCAATGCCAATTGTTTAAATTTTCCTCATTAGATGCAAAGAAATCTGCTTTAAGACACACCTTAAATTTTGGTTCTGGCATTACATTGGCGTTATAAATATTAAAGCATGGTAATATTAGCAATACTTTTTAATTTTATTGTTCACGTTTCAGGTTGCAATGGGGCAGTTGCCCGATGATTTTCTTAAAGTTCTTAAAGGATATTAATACATCTGAAGCTACGAACACTCTGAAAGCAAGCAACATTATGTTTCCGTTGCTCGTTTTTGTTTCTGAATTTTGCCAAAAGTTTATTGCAGTTAATGATAATTTTTTATTATTTATAAAGGTTTTTTTCATGTAGCTATTGTTTAAATAATTAATTAAGATTTTTTTAAAAATCATAATTGATAGTTCTCTTCAAATTAACAAATAACATATTTTTTTGATTAACAATTTCATTGTTAATTTTATTCACAATTTGTTATAAACAAATTATAAACAAATTGTTAACTTTTCTTTTTTTTCTGAAAGTTTTAAAAATAAAAAAAACGTCATAAATCATAAATGACAGTTCTTTATGAGTTATTTTTATCAAATATTGAAATATGGGCCATTTGATTATAAGTTTTTATAAACAATCGACTATGAAATTTCTAATTTTAATTTTTTTTAAAAACGATAATTTAATGAAAAATAAAAATTACAACCTTACGGTGAATTTTGTTTTTTTGTTAACTTAAAAACTAATTATAAACGCTGTTATATTATGTGTGTACAAAAAAAACTCCACAAAGCGAAAACATTTTATGGCAATTTTTTTAATATTTTTTTCGAATTTGCAATCTTAAGGGAAGTCCCGGAAAAAGTTGTTAATTAACAACGGTCTAGCTTGTTGTAAAATTAATTAATTGATAAAAAATTTCAACAGGAATCAATTTTTTGAAGTGTTTAGTTTATACAATATTTTTTTTAGATTTTTAATCTAATTTATACACTTAAATTTTTTTTTATTGATACTTGCGACGTTATGCGCTCAACACTTAACACTACTTTTTACCATCTTTAATTGTTTATAACTTTTGTGAATTTTAATGTACCAGTCTACCACAATGATATAGGACATAATTCCGAATCCAATGGGCTATATCACATAATTTTAGTAAGAGTATGTTCAAAGAACGGCATATTAATCTGGTTAACTAGACTAATTGGCAAATAAGAACACCCCCATACATACAGTGGCCCACCTGCGGCATCTCTATATTGACCATCCTTCACTTGGAAGGAGACCAACTGGAATTTCAGTCTTTTTTTCTGCGTTAAATTCGGGGATTTTTCAAGCATCGTTGATTGGCGGAAACACATGCCGGTGTTTACCAAAATTTACGAAAAAAAAAGCGCATCAACACCCCATTAGCGTTCGAGGGCCCACCCTAATCGACGCGTCATCTGTGCCGCCTTTTGCGAAACGCCGAGAACATCCCTCGGGGGCGCGAAAGTCACGCACCGCACAAGGGCGGCTTTCGACTTTTGTCGATTTTTTTGAGGGCATTTTTATGTATCCGTAACGGGGTGTTTACCCGACTAGGGGAAATGTAAATAATCGGGCAGACAACCCCCGCCCCACCTCACCGTGTGTGCGTGCCAGGTTTTGTTTGCGTTTAGTCGAAAATCTGTCGTTTCGCTTACTGATCCCCACTCCCCCTTCTGCATCCTTTTTTCTATTAAAACAGTAAAAAAAAACACACCTAGGATCCATCAGTTTTATCAAAATATTCTCCGTCGTTAAAATCTTCCAAACAGATCTGATCTGACGTCATAAAATGACCGTCTGCGCACATTTTGTATTTTAGAGTGGGCAGTAGAAAATATTAATTAAGTCCTTGGCCTTTCTAAAACAGACCTAAGTATGAAACTTACTAAAGGTGTTTAAGACGTGTAGGTAACGCAAAAATATTTTTTTAACCCTTGCAATATGTAGAGACATCCATACATGTTGTGCTCTACATGTTGCTTTTTTAGTATATTGCAAACTTTTGCGTTTTTGCATGATATAGTCTCAGAAAACATTATATGAATAAGACTTTAGAAAACTAGTTTCTTTTTACGTTAAATTTTCTATAAAATTTAAATAAATTACGAAGAAAATCAAGTCATCACAACAAATAACTTTGAAAACTGTGAATAAAATTTCGAAAACTTCTACATTATTGTGTTTTCTTATTTTATTTTCAACAAGTTTGTTTTCAAAGTCTTCCTATAGGTTTCTTGATCAACCAGGCAAAAATAACAATATTCGATAGGATTGATGGGATCCCTAACGGCATTTTTCTGGGTTCCCCTCTGGATCATGCCTCAAAAGTTGATTGGCAGCTGCTGCAAATTACATTAGGTGTCCAATTTTTGTACCGTTTTACAATCTTAATCTCAACTACTAAACATTAACCATTTTCGGAAGTATAATAATTTATTTAGGACAGAGACTTTTGTAATTCCAACAATTTTTTTCCACTGGTGTCCAGTTTCAGACCTTTGATGGTAGCCTTTCTTCTCCCATTCGGTGTAGGTGTCCATAGCTTGTCAATTGTTTGGAATTTATGTCGTCCACTATAGTATTGTCGACTTGCATTCTTTCTCTGATGGTCTCATTTCTTACATGGTCAGGCAAGGTCAAACCGTAACATCTTCCCCAGTACATCATTTCAGTTGAAAAACGTTTCTGAGTGATGTTTTTCTCTGGAACCCACACTTCTGATCCATACATCAATACATTCTGAATCATAGCCTGGTATATATATTTTTTGTTTTTTCTTTGGTATGTTATTACTCCACAGAATTGGCTGTATTTTTTTTAGTATTTCCTTATTGCCCTTTCCGTTCTTATCTATTGCAACTCCCGTTTTATCCGTTTTTTATTATCCCGATTTCCGTTTAAATATCTTGTCCTGTGCCTCCTATTGTCATGTATTTTGTCTTCTCAGTATTCGTCTCCCATTTTGTGAATTCTTCAATGAGTTTATTTATCATGTATGTCCTGTTTTTATACTTATCCCCATTGGACTACATTTTCTTATCCACTGCCTTAAAGCGCTACTGAGATAAACTTTAAACGGTGTTGGACAAAGGCTGTTTGACGCTTTTTGATTGTGTGAAGGGGTCCGAAGTTTCGTTTGCTGCCTTTACAATCGCTCGGTATTCTCTGGCGTTTATATATATTACAATTATAAGGTTGTTCGGAAAGTCATTTCGTTTTTTCCCGTCAGAGGACTTAATTA